CCCATACTAACACTGGACAGGACCAGCAGGGTACCACACTTTACCTGTCCCATCCTAAAACTGGGACAGGACCTGCAGGGTACCACACTGTACCTGACCCATCCTAACACTGGACAGGACCAGCAGGGTACCACACTTTACCTGGCCCATCCTAAAACTGGGACAGGACCTGCAGGGTACCACACTTTACCTGACCCATCCTAACACTGGACAGGACCTGCACCCTGCTGGCTCCCCTTGGTTCTGTTGTCAGTTCTGACCTTCTCCAACCACTGTGCCTCAAGAGCGTCTCTGCTCTTTCTGACATGGCTTTTTAAATAAGTGTGTTGTGTGTTTGCAAACAAAACACTCGTGCTCATGTCTGGTCCACGTGCACAGACAGAACCTGCAAGACAATCGCTAACTCAATGAGCAATGTCTGTTTTTAAAAACCGCTCCCTGCAGGAGTCACAGAATCGAACAACACTCACAGAGTTACCACAAACATGTGTCAGGCGTCTTATTGAAGCGTACGGATCAAAATGTTCAACAAAACCTTCTTTGGTTCTCTAAAGGAGAACAACCCAATCTTCTTACTTATCAGAACAATACCTGCAGTCCTGGTTAACGGTGCACCCAGCACGTTGTGTCTCGTGGAGCCCGTCAGTTTTCATATGTTGTAATCTGAGCATTATCTCAGCAAGAACATGTTAAAGATGAACCGGTGTCAAACCAGAGCATGCTGCAGCTTTAATGAGCTCCACAGGAGTAAAAACAAGACTTTTCAACCATGAAAGACTTCTGTCAACACGCTTGAGTGAAATCACCCAACATTCAGGTAAATAATCAGTTTATTAAATGTAGCCGTGCTGCTTGACAGGATGACGTCTGGTGAGTGCTCAGAGTTCTAACTCCCTTTGAGGCCACTCACTCAGAAACCTGGATACACCTTCACAAGATGAAGGACGTGCTGCAGAGCTGCCAGGCTCAAAGATATAAAACATATGTCTTTGTCTTCTCGCTTCTTCTGCATAATTATCCTGTGTGTGTGTGTCTGTGTGTGTGTGGTGGTGGTGGAGGGGCTTTGGGTTAGGGTTAGGACCCCTAGCGTTGTCTTCCACATTCCAAATGAGTTGATGAAGGCTTTTAGTGTTGATGTTGTGTAGTTTGAAGCAGTATGAGTCATGGGCTCCCCTGCACAGGTTTCTGTGACTGGTCTTACAGTCTCACTCCTGCCAACCAGTAGCTGGTCCTTGGCTGTCCTGGTGTTGGTGCCAACTCCGTTCTGTGCCTTGCTCAGGTATTGATCCATGACCCTATTCATCTTAGCCAATATGATGCCTGATAGGAGCTAGCATGTTGTACAGAGGCTGGTAGTTGGATGGGATTTACCCTTCCTTTCATGATCAGGGCTGTCCAGCCTTGGGTCAACCACTCTGGGTCCTGGACCCTTCCGTTAGCAGCTGGTTCATCTGAGCTGCTAGGTGTTCATGGAGAGCAGTCATTTTCTTTAGCCAGTAGGTGTGGATCATGTCAAGTCCAGGTGCAGTCCAGCTCTTTATTCCTGAGGCTCTGTCCTGGATATCTGTCACCGTGATGAGGACTGGTTCTTGTTCTAGTTCGGATCTTAGATCTTGTAGCCATGGGGAACCATCACTGTGTGATGCCTCCTTCTCCAGTGTTGCTTCATCTCAGCTCTGGGTGGATCTCCTCTCATGTTGTTCTCCTGCCACTGTGAGTCCACCACATCAACACAGCTGAGTTCTGCTCCATGCCTCTTTTGGCTTCTTGATGCTCACTTCATTTATGAAAGTTCACATCTGTGCTGGACATGGCCGGCTCCTGTTTTGATTTGTGAACTGTCAGAGCAGCTTAAAGATAGTCTGGTCTTTGCAGCCATTTTGCATAACCGTTTTATGAAAGAGCTTTAGCCAAAGAAGCAGGTGGCCCACAGCAGTGATCTGGTAACAAGGATAAACAGTGCACTGCATTTGATTTAGAAGGTGATAAACTGAGTCCAACAACAAACAGGTCAATCAGCACCACATCTCTGGAAAGAGCTTTAAATTGAGCTGATCAAGAAGTGAAAATCACTGAAGATTCAAACAGCTCTGCCTGGTCATCTAAAGCCTCTGATTTGTTTTAAAGAGCTGACATTCTGTCTTTCTTTTTTGGATGTCAGGAGAAAGAATGATGGAGACGTCAAAAGCAGGAAAGTGAATCTTTGGAACGTTTCTTTGCTCTATGTCCACACTGCAGTGGAACCATGGATCTCACCAAATGATTTGATGTGTATTTGTAGGCAGTTCAATTTCTATTCAGTTTATTTCTTTGGCTCCACGTCCCAAGAGAAGTACAAAAACATCCACATACATTCACACAAAAGGCAATTAGTAAGCATTATCTATCTAAGGAAGCAGCACTTCGTCACAGTCTCCCATCCTGAGCAAGCACAAAGGAGACAGTGGAAAGAAAACACTCCCTTTTAACAGGAAGGAACCTCCAGCAGAACCAGGCTCAGGAAGAGCAGCCCTCTGCTTCGACCAGCTGGGTTTGAGAGGACAGGAAGTAGAAACAGACAAACACAGAATGACAGGTCCAGGTGAACTTTCTATAGGAGGATATATAAAAAAAACTATTAAGATAGAAATAATTACAAATACAAACAGGTGGAGTAGATTAAGTAAAGACAGCAGCAGAGAGAGGAAATGAGGTCAGTTTGTCCTCCAGCAGTCTACGCATAGCAGTATAACTAAGAGATAACTCAGGAAACCCAAGCCAACCCTTACTATAGGATTTATTAAAAAGGAAAGACTCCAGCCTAATCTTAAAAGCAGACAAGTGTCAGCCTCATGGACAGAAACCAGAGCCTGATAACTGAAACAGCTTCCTCCCATTCTACTTTTGGAAACTCTAGGAAACACAAGTAAACCAGTGGCATGAGAGCAAAGTGCTCTGTTAGGAAAATAGGGAACAGTATGATCTGTAATATAAGATGGAGCTAGGTTGTTAAGAGCTTTGTTGGTTAGAAATATGATTTTGAATTCAATTCTGGATTTGACAGGGAGCCAGTGGAGAGAAGCTAAAACGGGAGAGATATGATCTCTCCCACTAACTCCAGTTAAGACTCTGGCAGCAGCATTTTGGATTAACTGGAGACTTTTTAAAGAAGTTTTTGGAAACCCAGATAACAAACCATTGCAGTAGTCCAGTCTAGATGTGACAAATGCATGAACCAGTTTTTCTGCATCATTTTTAGATAAGATGTTTCTAATTTTAGTGCTATCACGCAGGTGGAAGAAGACAGTTCTAGTACCGATCTTAAATTAAGATTAATTAATGCGGGGGATGAAAGACGTCCTGATCAAAAATAACACCAAGATTTTTAACTTTAGAACTGGAGGCCAGATTAATGCCATCCAGAGAAAGTGAAAGACTGAACATTTTATTCACAAGATGCTCAGGTCCAAAAACTAAAACCTCAGTCTTGTCTGAGTTTAAAAGCAGAGAATTAAGGTTTATCCAGGTTTTATGTCTTTAAGACATGCTTGTAACTTAAATAACTGATTGGATTCATCGGGTTTCATCGACAAATAACTGAGTATCACCAAAGTTCATGCTCATTAATCCAGGTATAAACCTAACAATGTTCAGTCAGGTCATCTGGATGGTTTCTTTTGTCAGCAACAAAATAAACCATCCAGATGACCTGACTGAAAATTTGTTGGATAACTGAGTATCATCAGCATAACAATGAAAATTTATCCCATGCTGATTAATAACTTTACCTAATGGAAATATATATAAGGTAAGGAGTATTTGTCCAAGCACTGAGCCCTGAGGTATTCCATAACTAACTTTGGTCTATAAAGAAGATTAATTATTTACATTTACAAATTGGAATCTATCAGATAAATATGATTTAAACCAATTCAAAGCCGTTCCTGTAATACTAGTATACTATTCAATCAAGTCTCTGTAGTAGAATATTATGCTCATCTGTATCAAATGCAGCACTGAGGTCTAACGGGACCAGTGTAGACACCTGTCTGTTGTCAGAGGCCGTGAGAATATCATTAATATGTTTCACCAGTGCAGATTCGGTGATGAGCTCTAAACCCTGACTGAAACTCTTCAAACAGATTATTTCTGTTCAGATGTTCACGCAACTGACCTGCAACTATTTTCTCTAGAATTTTTAGATGAATGTTAAATTAGATGTAGATCTATAATTGGACATAATTCCTGAGTATCTTGATAAAATAGAAAGGCGCTATATAAGTACAGTCCATTTAATTTTTACTTTAATTTCTTAAAATGTTCAAGGTTGTTTGTTTTTTAAATAAAATGTTGGGGGGTTTTTTACATCCTGATCATCATCATCTGAGACCTATGGTGCAGTGGTAACTTGGAAATGAAAAATCTTTAGTTTGATTCCACGTCCGTATGCCGTGGTGTTCTTAAGCACCCCCGCTCCCCTTGGTCTTAAATAGTTGTTTGTATCTCACATGTGATGGTCGAATGCAGAGGATGTAGTTTCTCCTTTAGGAGGGAACCTAAAACACCTTCAGTGCTTGTTTCAGTGATCATGGGTAAAAGTTCACAGAACAGAGATTAAACTAATAGTTTTAATTAGTGGTGCTGTGCATAATGTTCATTGTTAGTTTTTGTCTCGTGATGCAGCTCAATGTCATGAAACAGTTCAAACTCGTGCAGTCAGGTGATCATTTTCATCTTTATTGAGCCTCCATTCTCTGAGGCCTTCAGTCTGATCCGTGTTTGCTCCTTCATCCCGTTTTCATGACGTGTCTTCTTCCCTCCACAGCCCTGTTGTTGGCTGACGGTGAGTTGCTCTTCCTTCATATGCAACCGCACTAACATCACTTCCTGTTTGTGTGCTGTGGTTTAACTTTCGCCCTGCTTTGAAACCTAAATTGCAACTGAATAATTCTGGAAAAAGTTGGGATGTTGTGTAAAATGTGGATTAAAGGGAATGCAATGATCTGATGAAGTCATTTTTATTCACAGTGAAACGGTAAACAAATCAAATACTAGAGGTATATGTAGAGGTAAAAAAAGTACATTTTGGATTTTATGGCAGCAACATCTCTTTAAAGCTGCTCCAGGGGCAACAAAAGTTGCACGAATAAGGGACAACAGGATGTTGTTGTCCTACGTGTCTCACCTGTCCCACACATGGGACAGGTGGGACGTAGAACGTGTTGTAAATGCAGAGAAATGTAAAGACGTGTCGTCTCACTGATAGTAAAATACAAATATTCTGTCATGTAAAGAATCGAACAGGTGTTATTGTAAACAGAGCTGTCTCAGTCCTTCCTGCTGCTGAGTGGTGCAGGTGTAGGAAGGGCTACCACCAAGCAGGAGACATCATGAAGACCAAGGAACTCTCCACACAGGTCAGAGGTGTGAAGAAGCTCAGATCAGAGTTGGGTTATAAAAATGTCCCAGAACCCTGAACACCCCACAGAGCTCCATGGAACCAGTTTTTAGATAGTGAAGGATGATGTCACCACAGGAAACCTGCCAAGAGACCAAAACCCACAGATCTGGTCAGGAGGACAAAGATAACCCTGACAGAGAAGGAGGATCTGTCTGGAGGACCACTAGAAGATGCACAGAGATTAACTTTATGGAAGAGTGGACAGGAAGAAGACATCAAACCTGTGGAAGAAGGTGCTGTTGAAGGAAAGATGGAGGGAGCAAAATACAGAGAAATATTTGAGAGGAACCCCATCAGGGTCCATCAGGGACCATCAGGGACCATCAGGGACCATCAGGGACCATCAGGGATAGATGCCTGTGCAGCCTTGATGTCAAACAACCTTCTGATGGTTCCTCTGAATGGAGCTCAACGTAACAATCGGCTGAAGATACACTTTATGTGACTGATTTGTTTTCTATTTTCAACCCCCCTCCCCCCCAGATGTACCAGACAGGAAGCTCACATCAGACGAGGAGGAGGCCAAGCGAATCGCAGAAATGGGGAAACCGGTGCTGGGAGAGCATCCGAGGCTCGAGGTCATCATCGAGGAGTCGTATGAGTTCAAGGTGAGCAGAGTTGATTCAGCGGCGTTTCTCCTCGTCCCAGCACGTTTGTTTGGGGGTTAGATGATCTGTGGTGTGAAGGTCCTCCTGCAGCAGCTTGTGTTGCCTCTGGATGGGTGGCACTGCCATCGTGTGGTGAAGCGTTGTATGTCCCAGCAGGAGCGAGGTTCTTCTGTGAATGACCCCGTGTTGGTTTCCACGCAGAGCACCGTGGACAAGCTGATCAAGAAGACCAACCTGGCGCTGGTGGTGGGAACAAACTCGTGGAGGGAGCAGTTCATGGAGGCCGTCACAGTCAGTGCAGGTAGGGTTCATCTTCTGTAGGCCACGTTTCACCCAGGTGTTCATGTCTGAGAGGTCGGGGGAACTAAATGTTTTTATTTGTTTTGGATTTAAAAAGTATTCACCCCCTTGAGTGGAACTTTTCCACATTTTGTGACAACCACAAACTCCAAACTGTTTTTATTTGCGATTTTATGCGATAGACCAACAGAAAGGCACGAAGCAGTTGTGTGGAAGGAACGTGGTTCATGGTTTTTATTTTATTTATAAATCAAAGTCTGGAGGGTGCGGTGTGCGTTAGTATTCACCCCCTTTTTTCCGATTCCCTGAACTAAACCCCAGAAATGACTTCATCAGAAAACAGAGTCCACCCGTGAGTGCTTTAACCTCAGGATATATCCAGATGTTCTGTGAGCCTCAGATGTCCGTTACCACCTCAGAGACGTGCAGCTGGAGTCCAAGACCAAGCTGCTTCTACTGACTCGGCTTCTCACCTTTTTTTGTTGATCTGTTTCCTAAAACCCCGACAAAAATGATTAGTTTTAGCTGTTTTCCTATCATTTCTTTTGTAAATATGTGCATACTAGTACTAACACACAGAGTAAATTATATTCACTTTAACTTTATGCTTTATTTCTTCAAAGTAGGATACTCAATTTCTCCACAAATAAAAAAAGACAAACACATAAGCCTGCACAGTTATATATATATACATATATATATATATATATATATATATATATATTAGAATCCAGTCTTCTGTGATATACTGTACGTGCAACCTGGATATGGGCACCAGTGACCCCCTGCAACCTGATGGATGGATGGATGGATGGATGGATGGATGGATGGATGGATGGATGGATGGATGGATGGATGGATGGATGGAATGTTAAAATATCAACAAATGTTAACAATTAGATGTTTTTAGTTTTATAATTTCACACCTACTGGCCAGAAAAGCCCCCTCTAACAAACTTAAAGTGGCCCATGGGCCACCAGTTGATAATGACAATCATAGCAGGTGTTGAGGCTCTGGACACGTTTAATTTAGTGAACGAAGGGGCAGAAATGACTCTTTTGATCGTAAAGGTTGCAGCCCCCTAGTCTAGAATAACCTGATGAAGATGAACAGACAGCTCGTCTTCATCTTGGCGGTCTGCAGCAGCAGCAGGCCCACAGAGACGCCTCGGTTTGTCCTCTGCTGCTGAAATATTGAATCTGGTGACGCTCTTTACTTTTTCATGATCCATGACCGGCTGAAAAATGCATGCAGTGCTCCTGGACTGGCAGCATCCCGTCTGTCCTCATCTGTCCTCGTCTGTCCCTGGAGTCTGCTAATGGGACACGGAGGACGAGACGGAGAACCTCGGGTCTTTTCATAGCCTTGCAGAACCCTTTTCACTACTTTTCCTTTTCATTACCATTTTATTTTAATTTGTTAAAAAAATAAATAAATTTGTACGCATCCTTTATGATTATCTGTTGTTGTCCACTGTTGTCATCACTCTTGGTTAAAATCAGGTCTCTCTTGTAAATGAGTCCCCGAGGCTCAGTGGGACGAACCTGTGTGAATAAAGGTTGAATGACTCCTGCACTGAGTTTGAATCAGAACAACTCAGAATACATGAAACGTGTGGAGCGTCTCGTTTCAGCAGCTAGCATTCAGCAGCTAGCATTCAGCAGCTAGCATTCAG